GCTCAACCGACTGCGCCACCCAGGCGCCCCGAGAAATTGAAGAAGGGGCTTTAGAGAGGGTTCTTTTCTGACTGTGACAAGATGAGCAGAAAGGAGGCAGTCAACTCACCACCCACCACCGCCCGGGGACCACATCCGGATATCCGGGTGCATTTCCTTCCCGTCTTTCTGTGTGGGTGGCTGTCACCGGACGTCACTGTCTCCTTCAGTTGGAGGCCCCGAGCAATCTTTGGGGTCACCTAATGCCAGCCTGGAAATGGGACTTCACTCCTTCGAACCTTCCCTCTAAGGGAGAACCCAGCACAAGGGCTTTAGAGAGGTGCAGTGAGAACTTTCCGGAAGTCTTGGGGGAACCAGCGCGGGGGTTGACGTCATACATCAAGGCCACCACACAGCCCTGTCCCCCCCCCCATCTCCCCTCCTCTTCTTTACCCCCTTGGGTGGGAGCTCTCTCTGCGTCTCGCACGCTGCCTCACTGGCCACCTTCCACCTGCTTGGTTTCCCCAGGCCCCTCCTACTTTGTTCTTTTATAATTCATTTTATTTATTCCTGCGACCTCTAAGTCCTCATCGTGGGGTTCCGTAAAACAAGAGAGCTTCCTGAGACGGGACCCACTCTCCTTCCTTGGGGGGTGGTTTAGGGGCAGAGAGAGACCTATTGGCTATTGTTTCTTGAACAGGCCCTTGGGGGCTTCACTCCCCACCTTGGAAAATCCGCCCCCCCTTCTTACATCAACTGCTAAGAGAAAACAGTTGCTGACGTCATCTGCCAGATGTATACATCTGTAGATATAGTTTTTTCTGCCTTTATAAACGCAGGATGCTGTTTTGTAATCTGCTTTAATGAATGACATATCCTAAGCACTTTGGGAGAAAAGATTTCCCACCACGGGCTCTGTCTCAAGAAGGACGGGGTCGTCTCAGGAGGTGGGGTGTTTCCCAGCTCGGGGGGTGGAGAAGAATGATTTGTAGGACCATTGCCAGGGAGGCTGGAGGGGGACCCAGAAGCCCCCAGAAGACTCCTTCTGCGCTAGGTCTGTGGGGGCAGTGAAAAGTGTGTGGAACGCTTGGGGCTGGCCGGTGAGGCACCCCTCAACCGGAACAAGGGCGTGAGCAGCAGTGGCCGGTTGCTACCTTCTGGGCTGAGCTGGGGCTCCCCGGGGAGTGCCCAGCATCTGTCCCAGGCGTGCTGGGTCAGCGAGACGAAGGGCCGGCAAAGCGTAGCCTGACCCGGGCCTTTTTCCAGGTCTACATGTTCAAGTGCGTGTGGAGATGCTACAAGTTCATGAAGTACATGAACTCAGCCGAGGAGAGGAGCGGCTCCAAGATGCTCCAGAAGGTGAGCCTGGTGGGGGTGGGGGTGGGGGTGGGGGTCAGGTCCCAGCCCTGCCATACCTTGTGTCATTTGGGGCAAGCCTCTCTCCCTCCCTGGGGTTCAGTTTCTCCACTGTGAGATGATTAGACCAGAAGAAATGGGAAGATCTCTTTTGGCCCTGATAGTCTAGGATGTTACTCATTCATGCATGCATTCAATATTTTCTGCCTCTTACTCTTTGGTGGCCTTATATCCAACCCTGGGGGTGCAGAGAGGACTTAAGATGCCACCCTGTGCTGGGGGAGTGCATAGCCCAGAGTGAATCCAGGTTCAGAGATCTGATTGCAACTCAGGGCGTAGCGTTGGGGGGGGGAAATGGGAGCATAGAGGAGGTACCTGGTCTCATCTGGGGTATCAGGGAAGACTTCCTGGAAGAGGTGACACTTGACCAAGTCTTAGACTGTCAGTTGATGCAAGTTAGCTGGGAAAGGGGAAGGGGCCTTCTAGGCAGAGGGCTGAGGCGGTCTTAGAAGCAGCTGATTGGAGATGTGACGGGCAGAGTGCAGCTGGTTTAAACGTCTGGTGCCACTTTCCTCCTCTGTAAAACGGGGGTTGTATTAGCCAAGAGTCTGTTGGTCGCCAATGGCAGAAATCAACTCGGTCTGACTCAAGTGATAACAGGGAATTTATTGGCTCCCAGGACTTGAGCGTCCAGTGTAAGCCTGGCTCAGGCTGGCTGAGTTGTGACATCTGGTGAGATCTCATTCTCTCCGTCTCTGGACTGTCCTCTCCTCAGTGTTGGGTAGCCCTGTCCTTGTGGTGGCAAAATGGCTGCCCAAATCCCTAGGTTGACATCCCACCCTCTCAGCAACCCCAGCAGAAAGTCCCAGGAGCACACCTGAAGGACCAGCTTGGGTCGCAAGCCTATCCCCAAACCAATGATGCTAGCCAGGGGGGAGGAGATTCTACTTTGTGTGGCCGCACCCAGGGCACATGTCCTTGGATCTGAGGGGTGGGACCAACTCTTCTGAAAGCATGTGGACCGAGAATGTTTTCCCAGGGAATATGGTGCATGGTTATCAAAACAAGGGGGTTTGAAGCTGAACAGGCAGAGGCCAGTCTGTCCCCTACAGGGATAGACACTGCCCCTGTCTCGTGCATGCAGTGTCAAGCATAGTAATTATCCAAGGTCCTGGGTGGGCAAGGTGCTGGTCACCGTCATCCATTCTGCCAGAGGTGGGGGTTGGAGCCCCTTGACTCCAGGTTGGCATCCTGGTTCCTTCCGGCCAATCGTCAGCCCTTATCTCTCTGTCGCTCCCAGGCGGTCCTGCCGTCCTATGAGGAAGCCGTGTCTCTGCCATACAAGACCCCGGACGGGGACCCCGCACCACCCCCCTACTCGGAGGTGTGACGCCCGCCAGGCCCAGCCCTGGTGCTGGGAGGGGCGGAGCTGTCTCGCAAGCCGCTTCTTCGCTTTGGTGGCCCCTGCGGCCCCGGGGTGAGCCGCCCGGCTGACTTCAGGACAAACCGGCTTGTGTCCCCCTCGCTGGCCTGCTTGTCCCGTGGGGCCTGGGAGATGCTCACGACTGGGTCAACGCTGTCGGCGGAGTGGCTCCCGGAGTCCCTCAGAAGTTCAGTCCAACGAACCTCGGCTCGTTTCCAGCTTCAGCACTTGTCTCACCTGTTCGTCATTCTAAGTTCGGGGGGTTTGGTTAAACAACTTGCAACTTGACCGCTTCACCACGTGGCTGCCAAATCAAACTACGCCTCCCCGTGCAGGGAGGTGGTTTGTCCAGACGGCAACAGCCATCGCGTTGGCTTTCAGGCCGTTGTCCGTTCACACAACAAACGATGCCGCCCAGTCATCGCCTCTTGGTCCGCCCCCCCCCCCGCCCCCCGCCCCCTCCACCAAGCACAGCCGTCCGATTTCTTCAGACGGCTTGTTTCAACAATTACGGTCCGCCGCCCATCAGTCAGTTTTAAACTAGGGACAGCATTCAACAATAACAATGACAAAAATCAAATTAGCCCCCAAACTATGCCATGCAATCGCCCCCGGCAACTGGTCGCCCACGCTGGTCCCTTGGGCGCCTCTGGGCGGCTGAGCGATTGTTAGCGCAAATGAACATTCAGGCACTTGCCAGACGTCACCCAGCAGCTACTTCCAGGAAATAACGGTTGTCTCGTCACGGAACCGCCCCGACGCACGGTGGTTTTGCCGGAGAGTTGTCGTCACCAGCAGCTGGCCGCACGTGGTCACTATAGTCACGCAGCGACTGCCAGTCCATTCTGCAGGCTGGCCCGTCCGTCACCAGTCCCGGCCCAGTGCTTGTGCTTAAGCAGAAATTTAGCCCCGACGCCAGGCGGGTCCGTTGGCTGGACTGAATCCGCAGGTTAGGCAGGCAGACTCTTTGTGGGCCCAGACCCTGCCACGGGCGCTCGTGTTGGTGATGGCAGAAGGGAAGGTTTTGGTCCCAACACCCCCTCTTTTTCCTGTTTCCGGGGTTCCTGAGGACGCTGACCCCAAGGCGGAGACAGGGCCATGGAGGCACGTTCTCTGGGGTCTGAGAGGGGGATACAGAGGCAGAGGGCTGTGCAAGAGGTTCCCTGCCAGCAGCCCCTTGGATAATTGCTTTGTGTGTGACGGGGAAGAAATTTCAATAAAGCAGCATCACGCTTCTCTTTGGCTGACCTGATTCTTTTTTTTTTTTTTTAATGTTTATTTATTTTTGAGAGAGAGAGAGGGAGAGCGAGACAGCACAAGCGGGGGAGGGAGAGAGAGAGAGAGAGAGAGAGAGAGAGAGGGAGAGACAGACGGGGGATCCGAAGCAGGCTCCGTGCTGATAGCAGCGAGCCCTGCGTGGGGCTCGAACTCATGAACCGTGAGATCGTGACCTGAGCCGAGGTCCAACGCTCAACCGACTGAGCCACCCAGGTCCCCCTGATGTGATTCGTTAAGATGTATAGGCAAGGGCTGGGAGTGCTTGACCCCGCACTGTTTCTGATCACAAGTCATGGACCGCATAAGTACCCTGATGTCTCCCCAGGTAAGGTGTTGAACTCCACTCACCTGGAGAGTGCCTACTTGGAGTCAGATCCTGTGCTGAGAACCGGGGGTGACCGCAATGGGTCGGACTTGCCTCCAGTGACCCACAGTCTGGGGTGGGGGAAGACAGATCCATGATGATTATAATAGCCCACGGCCAACACCACGATGGGGGGAGTCCCAGAGACCCCTACAGTCAGCGAAGGCTTCTTGGAGGACCTCTCGCCCAGCGGGATTGGAAAGGCGGGCAGGCAGCAGTAAACAAAGAAGGGAAGGATGTGGAGGGCCCCCGCAGAGGTGGGGAGGGGAGGGGTGGGTGGGCTGGCGTGGCTGCACGTGGGGATGGGGGGCCTGGCCAGGTCGTGGGCCTGGATCGTGAAGACCCTTGGCAGTCGTTAGGGTCCTTTGGCCGCAAGCCCACCCTGGCTCGCTTTAGCCAAGAAGGGCATTTGCAGGAAGGACATGGTCTCAAGGAACAGAAACCTTAGCGAACCAACTTAAGAAAAGAAAAGAAAAAAAAAAAAGGTGGTTGTGATATTTCTTGGTTCACATAAACGACAAGTGCAGCGATTTCTGGCTTCGGGCATGGTCGGACCTAGGAATCAAATTTTTCAATGATCTCTCTGTCTCTCTCTCTCTCTACCTCTGGCCTTTATCCTCTGAGGCTGAGCTGCGGAGGGCCTGCCTGAGAGTGAAGTCAACAGAGAGCCTGGGGCAGCCCGAGTTGGGCTTGGTCACCGTTGCTGATGGAGCCTTGAATGTTGCACAAGGAGCGGGGGCTGATACCGGGACGAGGGAGTCCCTGGAGGGTTTGGACAGGGGTGGTGCAGGGTCGGGTTTGGGCTCTAGGAAGGATGAGAGCAGGTGCAGGGAGCCACAAGAAGGAATGGAGGTCCAGAGACATCCGGTGGCTTTCTCGAGGCCACAAAGCAGCCAAAGATTGGACCACGCGCCTTTGTTCTCTACTACGCTGGGGGCTATGAAGAAGGTCTGAGGCCCCAGCATGTGTGAGCTCTTGCTTCTCGAGACGATCCCTGTAAAGGAGCTTCCCAGAAACCCCCATCAAATGAGCCCTGGGGACAGAGTTCTCCGGGGGAAGGGGATTGGTCTTGTCTCCAGCCTTGTATCCTCACCAAGAGGACACCAAGAGGGGGCCGTGGCCGTGTGTCCGGAGGACCGGCTGAAGCGACACCTTCCTGCCTCCCATCCCTCCTGGCCTGAAGCCAAGAAGCAGGCTGAGCTGTATGGTGGGATTGTGCCCTGTGGCCAGGCGGCCGAGAGGAGGCTGGCCCGAGACACAGGAAATAGCTGGGTTTGGGGAAGTCGAGTGGCCTGGCCAAGCCAAGCCAGTGCACCATCCACTGGGCAGCGCTCACTACGGCCCTATCAATGGCCCGTTTGAGGCTCACACAGGGGTCCTTTGACAGGGCTGAGTTGGGACCCACTGCGGGGGCCTGTTTGAGCTGGATGCCCGGAAGGGAGCCAGCCCCAGGAAAGAGCGGGCTGCGTGCAGGCTGGGCAGGTGAGGACCGCCCGCACAGGCTGTCTCTCAGAGGGAAGGAGAGTCGGCAAAATCAGATCCGGGTCCCCGAGCAGGAACTTCGGTGTCTCAGGACTGCGTGGGTAGCGGGCACGTTCCCCTGTAATTGAGTGGAGTTCAGGGTCGTATCTGCGACTCTCCCACGGGCCCCGGGCGGCAGGTGTCATGTGGTGATTAGTCCTGAGGCTCGGAGCAGGCAGATCACTTGCCCAAAGTTATGATCGGGTGGAGGGCAGGGCTGGGGTTGCACTCCGACGGGCCTGGCCGGAGTCTGAGCTCATCTCTCTGGTCCTTTCTAGCTTATCTTGTCTGCCCGACAAGGTGAGAGGATCAGGGGCATGATTTTAGAGGCCGGGACAGCCCTTGAAGGTAGGGGTTGACATGCAATCACTGTTGTGCACCTGGCACTCGGGACAGGCCTGGCTCAGGGCGCCGCTTGTGGTGGGGGATGGGGGTCCACTGTGGGCGCAGGGCCCAGACCCAGGCTGCCTCAGCCGTGGTCCAGGGGAGGCAGGCTTTGGCATGCACTCAGGCGGTGGCCACGGGGCTGGGTAGATTCAAGACGCATTTTGGGAGGCAGGACCCCCAGGGCTTGGATGTAGAGGAAGAGAGAAGGTCAAGGCTGGTGCCCATGTCTGGAGAGCATTTGAGATGGTGGGGCCCGGCTTTGAGCTGAGGACACGGGATGGGGACCAGAAGAAGGTGCTTTGAGCTTCGTTTGCATTTAGGCTCCCTTGGGGACACAGTGGGGGACATAATGCTGACCTGTGGCCACGCTGGATGTGCCCTCAGATAGAAGCTTCCCACCCTGTCTGCCTGCTTGTAGGGCGTGTGACCAAGGCAGCATGTGCGAGGCCTGATGGGCACACGAGAGGCCTCACCTGCGGCGGTGTGTCCCGAAGGGGCCACGGCCAGGACAGGCACCAGCTGCGCCCCATCGGCCCCGGGGCGTCGGGGTGATCACACCCACTTTGCAGACGGGGAAACCTCGCCCTGTGCTGACAGGGCAAGTTCCCCACTTTGAGGGGTCCCTTCAGACTTTTGGGGAGCTCAGATTCATGGCCACTCAGGCACCCTGGGAATGCCCCCAGGTTGCCATGAAAAGTGTCAGGAAGAGCAGTTGCCAGGCTAAAGGAAGGGGATGAGCCACCCGTGGGCCAGCCTTGGGTGCTTCTGAGTGGCACCCACGGCCCCGTGGGGGTAAGGAGCAGCTACTCTGGATGTGCGCCCGCTACCTGCTGGATGGGCTCTCTGGGAGCCCGAGCTCACACTCTAGTCTCCTGGCACGCCGGGAGGAAGCCTGCCTAATTAGCCACCAAGAGCGTTCTGATAGGCAGCCGGCTTGGCAAAGAACAACCGGCACAAGGGAGCCAGGGCCCTAAATAAACAGAGTCCATCTGGTCAACCTCAGTGGCCCAGCTGGGCAGGCAGGATGCTGGCCTTGCAGCTTCGTCTGCTCTACGTGCCGGGGGGCCGACCCAGGCAGGGGGACAGCCTGGGCAAAGACCCGGACATGGGACCACATGTCCGTGTGGCCATGTGGCTCCAGCCCAGGAGTCTCACCTGCGATGCCTCACTACTTAACAATGGCATGATTACATTCAGCCTTGACCTTGACCAAGTTGCTGATTTTTGGGGGGGTGGGGTGGTGGGAAGGGGCAGAGAAAGAGAGAGAGAGAGAGAGAGAGAAAGAGAGAATCTCAAGCAGGCTCCCCGGTCAGTGAGGAACCCAACCCAGGGCTTGATCCGACGACCCTGGCATCATAACCTGAGCTAAAATCAAGAGTCGGATGCTCAACCGACTGAGCCACCCAGGCGCCCCTAAGTGGTTGAAATTTTACAGTTGGTGGAGCCGAGGTCCTAACAGAGGGCTTTGGGAAAAGCCAAAGGTTTTCTAAAACATTTCGAATGGGGCGATGGGAGGAAAGAAACAAAACACACCAGGAATCTTACTGGTCACCTTCCCGGCTCTTCTGTCCTGGGGAGGTGATGTCAGGCGTCTCTGGGGAGGGCGGAGAGGGAAGATTTAAATGTTTCCGGCATTGGGCATCCTTGGGAAGGCTGTAGGTGGACCACCTTGACCCTCAAATACTCCTCGTTGCCCGTAGGCACTGTGCGAGTAAGAACAGAACCAGATCTTCCATGAAGCTCCATGGTTGGGGGGGGGGGTGTGCTTTTCCCACCATCCTTCATCGTGGAAGGCACCACGGAGGGAAGGGCCTGGAGACCAAATTACGAGACTAACCACTGTGCTGTAGCTTGGATACGTTAGTTAGCACCTAGCCCCTCCCACACTGACCCTGGAACAACTTTCCGCAGGTTGAAGATGCTGTATTTCCTTGTCAATCTCTTGCCCTCCTCCCTCGTTCCCGCCCTCCTTCATTCCACGCACACATATACCACCGGAGGTAGGCAGAATTCGGAGATGGCCTCCGCTGACCTATGACCCTGGGGAGCTCTGTCTCCTTGAGCACGGCCAGAGCCTGCAAGACGGATGGGATAGTCACCCCTGTGAGTAGATTATGTTTCGTGGCACAGGAGACGCGAAGAAAGGGAGATTGGGTGAGCCTGCCCTAATCAGGTGACCCCTTAAAGGAGACTCAGCATGGGAGGGATTTGAAGCCTGCGTGGGCCTTGGAGGAGACCCCATGACAAGCTGCCGAGCGTGGCCGCTGGTTAACAGCCAGCCAGAGGGTGGGGGTCAGGGAGGGGGTTCGGTCTGACAGCCGCAAGGAACCCAATTCTGCCAACCACTGTGTAAGTTTGAAAGAGGGGCCTGAGCTCCCGAAGAACGAGGCCCAGCCAACATCCTGATTTCAGCCGTGTGAGGGGACACCCGGTGTCGTGGTGCCCAGACTTCTGACCTTGACCTGCAGGAGCTGTGAGGTAATACATTTGCAGTCTTTTAACCCACCACGCTTGCCCTACCTTGGTACACAGCAAGAGAAGAATGAAGGTATCGCTCTTTCCCAACCCGGAGGACGCTTTGCTTTTCCTCCTTCAACTTCAAAGTGGCAACAGAACCAACAGTCTTGAAGGGCTGAGGTCGCGGTCAGTGTAGACCCAGGGTTTTGACACAGAAGGATGGAACAGGGGAGCTGACGG